TAGTGTTCTGTCTGCCGACAGGTCCATATGAACAGGATCCTTCCATCCTTTTCTCGGACTGGGACCTGTTCATATACGTTCTTGGCAGATGATCCAGAAGTGGTTTGCCATTGCCTTCCTCTGTGTGTGAATGGAGTAATTGTTGGGATGCCACGGAGGAAAACTCCGTGTTGCCTAGACCACGGCCTTGTTCAACACAAGTTATAAATTCGGGCACCGCTGGGAATCGAACCCGAGAGCCCACGATTACAAGGCCAGCGTTCTAACCGCTAGACCACCGTGGCGGTGAATATCCACTAACAGACTAATAAATGGTTATCATCTTTATTTGAAGACAAGAAACATGATTGTTAATGAAACAGGTTCAATACTCACTTTAATAAAGTCAAAAGTCTTGGTAAGCATGACAATACAACTTGCTTTCTCTTGCCAAACCATCCTCCAGAAGTCTGTTACTGTGTTTTCTGTGGGTCCTTGTGTCACAATGTATGCATTCGGTTTCAGTAAACTCTGTAACAGATTCACCAACATAAAGAAAGGTCACATGTAGCCTATAGCTTGTTTACTTATACAAAGTGGTTATAAAGTCCCAGTCTACTTTGTTAAAAGATAGTTCAGACAAAACTCAGAATTCAATAACAATTTTACTTAAGTCAGTGGTATTCAACCGGGGGTACGCGAAGACATCTTAGGGTGTACGTGAAATTTAAAATATATATATATAGTATTCTAAGATAAACACTGAGTAATCAGTAATGTAATTCATTTAATTTATTTTAGATGTAGATTATATACTATGTATAACTTGAATTATACACCAACAACTTGGGGGTACAAAGTTGAAGAGAAATTATATCTGGGGGGGACACAAACAAAAAAGGTTGAATACCACTGACTTAAGTCACTTACAGTATCCTGTTTCCCATAGCAAGCAAACAATTGATATCAAAATATCAGAAGCAAACATCGGTGTTTATTAATATTTATGTATAATTTTTAAATAATTCTAAGTTATCAACTTAAAACATACCAGTGAACATGTTATTAATATTTATGTGTAACTCTAAAAAATCTGAATTTCTACACTAAATATAATCGAAGCAATGAAACCTGAATGCCATTACGTGAGACTTACAAAACATTAATTGTAAACAAAATTTCAAAAAGTTTGAGAACATTAAATTGGCTGTAAAACCTGATACTTGCAGTTAAGAAGCAGTGTAAAGAGTAAAAGCAGTTAGCAGTACACGAGTGTTGTACATTTTAACACCTTCAGTGTTTGCTTCCAAAAGACAAAAAGGTAAACATGCCGTGTAACATTAAAAAATTCAAGCGTTCACATCAACCAGTTATTTCAAAACTCAAAATACATATTCTTCAAGTGTGAACATTTTTATTGTTTTCCGTCACTCCTGGTGTAGTTTTATGTTCCTATGGCCACAGCAAATTTGCATGTAACAATTCAAATATGTCCCAATGTCTCACAAAACTGCAGCTATACTTCACATATCACGTCTTTCCTTTCATAGCCTTATCTATTTTTAAACGCAATTTGGCGTTCACTGTTGCTTGGTTTAACCTGTCACAACTTAACCTAACCTAACCTCTTTCCCCACATTTCTGACGGCTTCCTGACAGTCTGATGACAAACCTACATTCCCACTTTGCTTCATCCTGTAATCCCCTACAACCTTCTTCTTCTTCTATTGCTCTCCGGTCCGTATTCGGTCCACGGCCTCCTCAATTCTCCTCTTCCATTCGGTCCTCTGTTAGGTCTGTCTCTCCGAGACTTTGATTGAGGTTTCGAAACGTCTTCCTTTTTACGGTGCAAGGTTGTTAGCCTTGTTTGCATCCCATGATTATATATAATGTAAATGTTCTGATGTACTTTGACATACAGAGCTGAAATTTTGGTATGGACTATAAGAGACATAGGAAAATTACAGGAAGTAGAAATGAAGTTTCTCTATGCAGGGAGGGATAATGAAATCAGGGCATTATGCAAGATCTGAAAGTAGAAACTTTTCAACAGAAGTTGTACAAATTAAGGACATGCTGATGAGGACATGTGTAACAGGTAGATGGATAACGATAGGATTCCTTTGAGAGTATAAAGATAAAGATATCACACAAAATGACCACTGTGGTGATTAAGATTAAAGTGTAGAGAACAAGGGAGAGAAGAGATACAAAAGGAGCAGCAAAGAGTGAACACAGAAACAACAGAACACTTGTGAGAAGATCGAGAATAATGGAAAAGGATTTTTCATAAAAGACCCCTTCAAGTGGAAACTTTAATGGATGATGATGATGATAGTGATTCCATTCTCATTTTGTTTTGTGATTCTGCATACCACACTGGCTTTGATGTTACTTTATTGTGGGTAAAAAATTTGCTTTAAAATTTATCATACTACACTGAACTCTATACAATGACAAGTTTCTTTTGTAATTTAAACATACACTACTTTAAAAAAATGTCTCAAAGTTTCATATCTTAAAGATGACAATATTTTATGTTAAGCATGTTACTAATTTTTGTACGATGAGCCAGTTCATGAAAAATTATTAAGGCCAATTGATACTAGGGATACTAGTGCCTGAGCACCGCGAGTCCCAACTTTTCGTTGGCTCGATCTATAGACATTTTTGGTAGGACTCCTTGGACGAGGGATCGGCCCGTCGCAAGGCCTCTACCCGTACACAGGACAGCACAACACAGAAAAATGCGGACACACATCCATGGCTTGAATGGGATTCAAACCCACGGTCCCCATTGGATAGGAGGCTGGGTGGGCCCCTGAGCCGGTCTTGACGCAAATGCTAGAGAAAATATCTTATGCTGTTATCAGGGATCGAACCCCAGTTATCCAGTCCATAGCCAGTCACTATACTAACTGAGCTCCCTGGTTCTCATACACAAACAGTCCAAAACAAAACTAAATTTGACTAGGAAATTTTTGTATAGGCCCCTTACCATGCATTCAGTTGAAGAATTCTGTACAAAGGACAAATGAAAGCTGTTTACATAATGCCAACTTACATCCACATACGACGCGTTAACATAATCAGAGTCTGGAGTGTCATCTAATGGCTCCAATACAACTCTATTGTAATCATCTGTAAGTGGAACAAAAAGTATAATTACACTTCCATTTTGCTTGAAACAATATTACATCCAGCAGTAAGCTTCAGTTTCAATAATACAAAAAAAAATTAATGACATTGACATTTTTAATGGTATTCATAGCTGAACCTCTAAATTAGAAAGCTTACAGGAAACAACAAAATAAATTCTTGAAACAGAGGACTGTATGATACATCAAACATTGAAATATCTTCTTAAAACATCAAATGAGTCACTTTGTTGATCTACTTTTTGTACTAGAATGGAAATGAATTTATTTACATTCCTCAGATCCTTCACACACTAAGCCAAGAATGTAGAACATGTCATAGCAAAAATACAATATTTATTTCTAACACAAATATAAATGACATAGTTATGAAAATAATTTACAGTCAACTATAGCATTACCACAAAATAATTACACAAGACAGCATAAACACTTTTGCTTACACGTATTTAAAAAGCTGATAATTTTTGCTTGAGGCAACTTCTTCGATGGAATAGAAGGAGTGAGATAGGAGATACTCTTTTAGTGTTGGCTTAAACTTATTTACATCATGATTCAGGCTTTTTAGTACATGAAAGATTATTGAATAACTCAATTCCAGTATAATAAATTCCTTTTTGATATTTAGTGAGGTTAGAATTTGGCACATCTGTATCTTGTTCTTATATTGTGGATATCTGAGTTTGTTTGAAACTTTTCTATGTTTTCCACTACAAATGATGATAATGAGAGCAAGAATTTGCTGGTTAGCGCAAGAAGTGTTAAATTTCTTAAACAGTTCCCTATTTGTGCCTGCAATTCTTCTAATAGTTTTCCTTTTGATGTAAAACACTTTGTTGCTGTCTGTTCAGATTCTCCACATGACACAATCAAATCGAAGTAAGCAACGTAGAATAACAACATCTAGTGCAGTGTCGCTTGAAATACTTTTGTTAAATACCATATTCATTATTTATTTTCTAAATCCAGTTTAAATCATTTGATTAAATGAATTAATTTCCCTGATTCCACTGATGATGACCTCTTGAGGATTGAAACGCGTATGGCAATAGTTGTTTGTTTTCTTATTTTATATTTTAATGTTCCTGTTTTCACGAGTGATGTGACAGTCCTCATAGTTTAGTTAGTTTAGGCATAATGTACTAAATTTGTGTTTCTTTGGTGGTTTTTCTTTCAATTTAAGTGACTGTTAATTTGTAGGCCAAGAAATTTAGTTGTTGCTACTTCAATTGTTTTATCCTTAACACAATTTTCGTTGGCAGTACGAAAATTCAGCGAAAAAGGTTGAGAACCCCTGTTCTAGAGGAAATGGAGAGTCGCACCACAGAACAAAACACGGTGACTAATTACCACACACACAAAAAGAAAAGAACAAAAGACAAGAGTACTTACAAGGAATGCACTTTTGGTTTTGGTTTTTCTCCTTATTAGCAGCTTTGGTTGCATGGCGACAAGAATGCGTTTCGACTTTGCAAGCTGTCTGAAAAACAAATATAAAAGCTCAATACAAACTGTGAAAAGGAGGCCTCCATTGTTTGGGCAGGAAACAATGTAATGCAAGAGATCAGGACAGAATTTATTTACATTCCAAGGATCCTTCATAGTACAAGGCACGGATGTGGAATGTGTCATAATACAAACACTAATATTCAATAAAAATATAAATACATAGTTGTTACAGCTTTTTACATAAAAATTTACAAATTTTCAATTGAAGTAAATTCTTCACAATCAGAATCACAATGTTACAAGATTTCTTAACTGCGGAACTGACTTAGCGTACAGCTGGCATTTTGTGCATTATAGAAGGAACATGCTATAGGGGACTGACGTAAAAGTAAAGGAAAGTTACCCCACTATACGCCATGCAGGCACGTGGGGTAAGAGATAGAATAGGTCCAACTCATTCTTAACCTCAGCACTAGATGGGGGTGAGTGTTTAGTGTCACGCCCCGGCCGCACTTTACCCCCAGGAAAGAGCCCTGTTACCCACTCGATAGGAGGCTGGGTGGGCCCCAGAGCCGGTCTGAACGCAGAGGCTAGAGGAAAAATTCTCTATCCCGTTGGCGATCAAACCCTGGTCGTCCAGTCCATTGCCAGTCACTATACTGACTGAGCTACCCCATAACATTAATATTCTCTGACATACTTCATAAGAGAAACCATAAAAGAAATGAACAAATTATGACAGAATTATGAATTTCACTAAAAGATTTATGCATTATAAGATGTGGAAAATAGATGCTTTTTGAATGAATTCTGACAGAATCTCTAAGAAAATTATTAAACATTAACTCTGAGAAAAATCTCTACAAATATTAAAGATTTCATTCCATATTATTCTTTAACAGGGAAAACAACAACAAAGGAAAATAACAATGATTAGCCTATGATTTATTTCCTTAAGAGCAAAGACGAAAGGAGCCTATAGCTGACTCTTTTAACCTCCAACTTAAGAGGTATGAAGCCATATATGACTTCACGCGCAGTTTTGTCTTCTATAAATTGTTACAGCACGTGAACTTTTTGTGGGCATTACATGATGAAACAGAGGAGCTGTAATAATCTTCCTGAGTCCTGTGATCAAATAACATTTTTCTGGGGGAACTGAACAAGAAGTCAAACTAGCCATTTGTCTCAAGCTATACCTCCACTTCCCCATACATATTCAAGGCGAGGTGATAAATTAAGCGCCACATATAAATTCACCTTTATTTTAAGATTACAACACATCTCAGTGTTCCCTTTTCATGTCTGTTCATAAACTATTTTAGGATTAGCAAATAAGATGGCACCTGAAAGCAGAATTTAGAGGGGAGTTAGGAATTATGGGGCATGTTAACATTAAATTTACCACAAGTCAACACTAATTTTTTATAGAAATTTATGATCTACTGAATATGATTCTCGTTCATTTAAGTTACAAACAACCAAAGTTTTGTTTTATTTCATACGATGGCTTTGTTGTAACTAAGAATTTTGTAAAATAATGCACTTGATTATTTGTGTGACAGGGTACGACAACTAGAAACTTGATAGACAAGGAACAGTGGTACAGTAATGCCAATCACCTTTTATCTTAATATTCTTACATCATGCAAGCGTATTTGTCACAGTCCACTTCTGTGACTCCCTCATGTCATGTGCCCAATGGCCATACAAGATGCATTTCACCCAACCTTCACCAGCTTTGGAGTTTAAAAATGTCTGAAAAAAAAGTGATTTTCCTCAGACGATTCACTGTCTCAAGTACTGAGCTAGCTTCATCTTTGTCATTCTTCCGAAACCTTTGTACCTTCTCGACGAACTTCTTTTGCCTTTATATTCTTCCTTTAGATATGCCGGTAGTTTTGTATTGCAACCTTCTCTTTGTTTTCTTTTTCTGTTTCTTCACAGTCAGAGTGCGGTTATGAAATATGATAATAATAAAGGCAACCAATTTGAGCTCCAAATTATTATATCACTATTGATTAAAGCCAATTTATATTGATACAATAAAGAACATTTTCTTTTAAATATTTCAATATGCTATATAGGCCTATTAACTACGTAAAAAAGTAAAGCTGTCCCACTATATGCCATGTAGGTGCTTGGGGGGAGAGGTCATATAGCTCCAATTCTTTCTTGACCTCAAAATTAAATAGGGGTGAGTGGTCAGCATCACGTTCCGGCCGTGCTTTACCCCTGAAAAAGTACCCCGGTACCCATTGGATTCGAGGCTGGGTGGTCTGGACGTAGAGGCTAGAGGAAAAATCCTCTGCCAAAGTCGGGGATCGAACCCTGGTCATCCAGTCCATAGCCAGTCACTACACTATGCCGGCTACTTTTATTTTAAATAAAACCACCTTCTTTCTTAAAAGCTTTGTATGGCAAACCGATTCTTGCTTTTCTACCTATTCGAGCTTCTAGTGTCTTTTTTATAACCTCAAACTTCTTGGAAGCTTTCACGCAATCCATTGCTCTTGTCAGGACCTGAATAAAAGCTCCTCTGATGTTTTCATCTCCATGACCAGAACTGTCTTTTTGTTGTCATACATGCTTTTGCTTGACATGCCAAAAAAACGACACAAACACATATAAGCGTAATGTAACAGTTTCGAAGAACCTCTACAGCTCACAGAAGTACCAACTATTGTAAAGTTGAAACAATAGGTAAATTTATGTATTCGGGCAAAACATGATACCCTGATTTACCTGGCAATCTCGATGGCTTCTTACATACTCCTGTTAAGATACGACAATTAAATAGAGCTTGAAATGCAGTTAACAAGATCCGTTATGCGATAATACATACCTTCTGAATGTTCAGTACTGACACCGAAGTCCAGGGACTATCAAATTAACTAAACAATAAAATACTTTATTCAAACAGCCGAAAACAAAAATGTGAACAACGTTGGCTTCATGTGTCTTCCATGGAACGCACAAATTATGTTTCGTAACCAATTATTAATACCAATTCCTTTTACTTTACCTGTAATTTAGAAGGGATCAGCACTTCCTAAGAAATTGGGTCGGGGGGGGGGGGGGGGGGGGGCGAGTATTTGCAATTTAGATCAATGGTTTGCCTGCCGCAGTGCCCACTGGGACTAGTTTTAATGGCCTCTGTGCCTTTTGCCTAGAATTATCTCTCGAGTTTCATTTGAACAAGCCTGATACACATATGCACATTCCTTCCAGATCAATGTTGTAATAACTATCAAAAGAATAATAATTTATGTTTTGTGTAAAAAGACCAACTGATACATATTTCTAGAGGGAGACAGCAACAGAAAATATAAATAAGGGAGAGTAATGAAGGCGAGATGTCTATTTTCAGATGGATTTCTACCTATATGTAATTAACTGACAGTGAGCTAATTAATGACCAACAATAACTTTATTCTGATTTCAGCTACTCGGTGTGATGTTTGCTTGTTCCCTGGGTCGATCCATTAGGCATCAAAAAACAGAACGTGAACGTCGACGATGGGAGATGAGAGAGAATCTGCTTAGAAAAGATACATTCTACACTGACCGGAAGCATTCAACATCTGCATAATGAAGTAATAAAAATGCTAAATCATGAAGTATATTGATAGTATATCAGGATATCCTATATCAATCACCATAAATAATATAGCATTCATTTTAAAACAATGTTAAGAATGGAACACGACATAATTTAATATTATTAGTAATGCAGTGTCAACTTATAAGTGGTTCCTACATCCATAAAACGTTTCCTTAAAAAATCAGAACCCCCGTCAAAAAATTATAGTATGTTTTCTACAAATGATTCCTTTATATGATTCTTATATGCAAAATCGGCAATCACTGGTAAATTAAAATCTACAGGCCTTTATGGTCCTTTTAGGTAACCAGAGATGATGTCTGTATATATTCCACTTCCTTAATGGTTGGAAAGTGCTTACATAATAGACAAATTATTCTTGTGCATCCTGTGAGATACAAATTTAATCTGTGAAGACACTTTAAAAACTAAGAAATGAAGCACGAAGCCTTAGGGAACACTACTAAGCAAATCAGTGAGCATTCAAATGCAAAGGAAACTGTATGGGAAACATTAAATAACTATTTTAAGATGCCCATTAAACAGAGTAATGTAGGTTCTTAAAATAAATTACAAACTACTACCCAACAGAAAGAACACTACTTCGACTGCCACTTAATAGGCTAAACTTCTGAAAATAACACAAGTCACATAAAACAGCCTATCTTTGTGACAAATTTCAGATGGACATTTCTTATCATCGACAAGATCCCTTTCAGATACTGAATAAACAGCCAATGGAGAAGGAATAAGGTGAAAAAATCAAACATGACCTGCATACTAAAGTGCAATGAGTTTCCTGTGAGTATGCACTAAGGTGGAAGAGTCAAATGCTGTTCCATAACACTGAAGTTCAGTTCATAGCTGTGCTATCTACAAAACTCACTGCACTTGTCTACCCAAGTCTTCTGTATAATTTCTATGAAATCTAGCCTCATACACATAAGGCATGCAAGACACAACTTGCCAATCATAATTGATGAAATGACGAAGACAACCTCTATGTCAGATTAAATTGTGGATACCTCTTTGGCCTTTTATTATGCACAAGAGTCAAATTTGTTAGTAGGTCAGAATGTTTTATACCAGGTGTGACCTCATTGCCAGCCTGCCTGCCTTCCCATGGTGAAAAAACTAATTTCAAAAACAAGAAACTACAAACATATTCACAAATGCAAAGGTATTGAGAATTTTATGGCAAAGGAGCAGTGCCAACATTTTCCTTCTTGTCTTTATAGTAATGCAAATGTATCTTGTTAAATAAAAACTTTGCATAAAAATGTATTCAATTAAATATATTGTTAACACTGAGTTAAACAATTACTTCACCACAGTATTCCTTTATTTGAATTGTTTCAAAGCTCATAATGTAACCTTACGCTGTTAGAAATTAAAGTTTTTGAGTTCCATTATTTGCGTTATATTGTATTTTATTACATTAGTATCATATTCCCACTCAAATGAGCTCCAGGTTATCAACAATAAAGGTCAATTTGTTATTAAACTGCTTAATGATATATTTCAAATATCAACCTGTTGAAACACAAAGACAATAGCTTATTAGTACTTTCCTTTCTAGAGTAGGCTAAATCAAAATTGGGAATATGAAAAATTTTCTGCAGTTTTTTAAAAATGTCATGCTATATGCCTAACATTTTATGAAACAGGCACATAAATACTGATATTAAGTTAAACCTATTGCAATGCCATACAATGCATAAGAAGCTATTAGCTCAAGCATAATTTAACCAACTCTCGCCAACATAAGCATTATAATATTTGTAGCTCCATTGGACGAAATAAAGCGCACGCCTCCACCTACAATATTGTGGGTTGAGAACGTGTTTTTCATGAACGGTGAATTTGCTATAAATAAAAAATTGTTTCAAAAAATCTTTCAGTTGTAGCTACACCATGCGGAAATATGAACTGGCCTCCTCATTATGCATAAATTTCTGTTCTACATGATAAGAAGACGTACAAAATATTGAGCATAAATCTCGCAAACGACAAATCAGTCAATCAAACTAGAGGCTTCTCTTCACACATTACTCTAAATCTTCTGTTGAAGCCTATCCTTATGCCAAACGCGTTTAACTTCTGTGAAGTACTAACTACGAGATGAAAAATGTCTTTAATTTCAAACTCATTGATTCTTATAATTCAGTACGTCGTGGCGTAAATCCATGGCCTACTTACGCAGCTCCATACAGCATTCCTTTCTCTCAGCGTGTA